GTTTAAATATATAACGGTAAAGCGGTCGGTTCCGCCTACATAAACCCGACCGTCGTGGGAACGGTGCCTTTTTCTTAATGTCTGGTTAGCGGCCTTTTTGCAGTTAAGTTCTGGTTAACTTAAACAAAACGCCATCTATCGATAAAACCCTTAATGGTAATCTGAACTGTTTTTTTTTTTAATTTTTTTCATAGAGATTTTTATTCTACAATAGAACTTTTTTCACATATCATGAGATATCTCTCGTGGAGTGCATAAACAAATTTTTTCGAAATTTTTTAATAACGTTTTTTCGCTGGCGGACACGATTTCTCATGTTTGAATCCAGTTTAATCTTAAAAAATGCGTGAATGCTTATCGTCCCTAATAAAATAATAAAAAAAACGGTTAAATGTGAAGTTGGCTGCGAACGACTGCAATAAGATTAGCTTTTCTGGTCAACGAAATTACTTAGTGAACGACCCAATACATACATATGTATGTGCGGTAGAATTACGTGCCGATATAAAAATATGATTTGGATTATGTTTATAGAGGTGTATATATGTATATATGTATATACATATATGTACATATATTAATGTAAATTTCAAGTGAGAATAACACAACCCTTACATCAACGACATTTAAAACTATTTCGCCCACCAACAAAAGTTCGGATAAAATGAATTGTACAAAACTTGCATCTTATCCAATCAGCGTTTATAAATGTGGCGTTATTGATTTGTGGCAAATGACAGCATAATAGCAATAAAAAAACAATACAAAACGTTAACTTTGCTTGCATCAATCAGAATTTTTTTGCGTAGCCTTTGAAAATAATGCATGCCATATTTAGAGGAGATCAAATCGTGCAAGCTGCTGTCGCTATGTTGAAGCTTAAAACTTTTTTAAATTATTTACAACCGAAATGTACTTACGATTGTTATATTTATACCATTGTATATATACGTTCTAAAAGAATGAAGGAGTAACAGCCAACTTAAGTATATGTATGAACTGTCAAAGTTTAACAATAATTTCTTAAAACTCCCCACTTTCTTGTATGGTTTCGCGATTTATCTTAATTCGGCGTAGAACATAAACGTTCAAACAAATTTGTAAATGTTGTTTGGTTTAATAATAATTAATAAGCTAAGTTTGCAACTAGCATTGGCAAATTGTCATATTTATTATTTCAATTTTGCAGCAAAATTGATAAAAGTTTATAAAAAGTTAAAAATTTTAACCTTGTGGCCACATCCAAAACAATCCAGTTCAATAATGAAATCAAGAAAACACAAAAAAATACTATGATGACATGAATTTAAAATATAAAGACCATAAAAAAGTAAATATGAAATTAAAATGAAATAAAAGTAGTTTTATCTTTGTCTTTACTTGGGATACAGTAGCTATTACAAAACAAAACAAAAAATTATAATGAGAGTAAAAAATGATATTTGTGATACAAAATACTAAAAAATTAAAATAATATGGTTAGGAGTAAAGAAAATATGAACTGCAGAAGTGAGGCAGCAACACATTAATATATATATAATCCATATTTTTATAAGTACACATAAACATTTGTAGGCTTTACGTTGAAAGGAATGAAGAAATTATGAAAAAAAAAATTTACTAACGAAAATAGAAATTGTGAGAATTTAAAATTTGGCATATGTAGATAGAAACGATTAAAAACGAATATGTTTCGGAATGTACGAGTATTTAGCAAGCGAAATCATTAATGAAGCTGTCATTTTTGCATATTTGGCAATTTTAAAATTAGAAACGCCAATTATGCAAAATTAAACAATTTTTGTTATTAAATTATTTGTCTATTGAAATAAAAACGAAAAATACAATTTTACAATACATACATACTACAAAAATAAAATTTAAGTAATCTGCTATGTGAACAAAAACAACAAAACCAATGCTCACACAACATCCATACATACATACATATACATACCGAAAGAAAATAGCTGAAAATTTGCCGAAACAAAACCTTTCATTATTACATATAAAGTTTTGCATTATTTAAACTCACGCTCTTATTTATTTGTTAGGTGTATATCTAATAAAAGGTTAAACATCTTTGTAAGTTTGTAAGTTCCCAATCACTTGCATTCTATGAAGAACCGCAAAACATAAGTCCAATATTAAAGCATATATTATCTATACATACATATACTACATACATTATTGCATATACATTAAAAAACAAATATACCGACGTACATATATAAATATATCCTTTTAAGCCTTTTTTGTTTGCTACATCAAATACATACTTACCCATACATACATGTATAAGCATGAAAGTTGCATAAAGATGAAATTAAATTCCGCCTATGTGATAACTAAAATATTGAGAGCGTATAAAAGAGATGAAATATTGTAGGCCCAAAGTTGTTTTGATAGATGAATGTGCGCGCGAAGTTAATACATACATACATATGTGTGCCGTACATTAGCTTTTAAAATGAATACTAAAACATACATACATACATACATACTTCTGTTAATAAGAATGCAACGTGAAATATAGAAATGAAAGAAAACATTAAATCTATGTATTGACGGATAAAGATGTTTACCTATAAAGTACAAATTATAAATATACATATAATTGAAAAAGTAACAAACAAATCCAACAACAGAAAGTATATGAAAAATAAATTAACGAAGAACATGAAGAAGAGCTAAATATTAAACAAAATGAATATAAAACAAACAAAAAAATTGAAAAGAAGAGATTTGTAGGAAAACACATGAAATGAAAATTAATAACTGAGTTAGATATAGTCGAACCTATTATGACAACTAAAACTAAAAAAGAAATAAAGGGATATAAAATATCCATTAAAATTCAATTTGTTGTTTTATTAATTGTGTATATTTCCTGGATGATTCAATTATATAAGATTGTGTCCATAGCACAAAAACAGCAAACGTATGTAAGCTTTAAGAGCTACAAACTTCGCGTCAAACTTAATATATTCAGTTCAGGGTATAATATCTGGCAAACAGTAAGTACATTTATAATTTTTTAAAAAGTATAATATATAAGATTTATAGCGTTTGATATTAATATACGATTTTCAATCATTGTCTAATTACATATAGCACATAGTATCATAGTATATGCTATAAATGAAGGGGTTTGCTTTAGTTAGGATTTCAAAAATTTAAATTTTTTGCATTTTCATAATATTTTAGAAATCTAACAAATATTTTTCGAGTCATTCGATATTAAGCAAGGGGTAAATTTCAAATGCATTTTTCTAAAATATTTTTTATTTGGAAAAATGAACAAGAAATATCTGATATTTGGATTTATTAATAAACAATTAACCGCTGTTTTTTCACGAAAATCTGGGAAAATCTTTCCTCCGTCCAACTTTTTGTAACTTTAAAAAAAGCTTTAATTATTTACAATTAAAACTTTTTTTCGTCCGATCACTTTTAGAAGAACCTCCAAGTATAAGTCACTCCAAGGAGCTTTGGTGCCAACTGAGCTCATCCAAATTTTTATAAAATAAAAGAATTTACTGACAAAAAACTATTTGAAATTGTAATATTTTCTGTCTCTGACTTCACACTATATAATTTTGAACCGTTTTGTTGTTGTTGCTGTAGCGGCAGAAATCTATTGAGTTGACACAGTCCTCGGCTAAAAAACCGGGTCCGTTCCGCTTACATAAACCCGACTGTCGTGGGAACGGTGCCTTTTTCTTAATGTCTGTCATTTGGCAGTTAAGTTCTGGTTAACTTAAACAAAACGGCATCTTTCGATGAAAAAAACTTTGACTGCTAACCAGACACTGAGAAAAGGGCCCTTAAGGGTAATCTGGACTGTTTTTCTGACATTTTCTCATAGAAATGTTTATTCTACAATAGAACTTTTTTCACATATCATGAGATATATCGTGGAATGCATAAACAAATTTATTTAATGACGTTTTTTCGCTGGCGGACACGATTCCTCATGTTTAAACCCAATTTAATCTTAAAAAGTACGAGAATGCATATCGTAACTACTAAAATAATAAAAAAGTAATTAACTTTTTTTTTTTTTGTAATTTTTCCCCATGTATTTTTTTTTTTTTTTTTAATAACATTGTCAATAAATTATAAAAAAAATATAGGAACGATGGCCAGGTGTTTTGCGATCATTTAAAAATTAAGCAAAGCGGTTGAGTAGTGTGTTTTGAGAAAAACGCGTTTAAAGTTTGCGGTGTGCACTCCGAGCGCTTCGAACGTCGAGCGGTATTACAAAGTATTTTCGAAACCTTCCAATGGTAAAATGTTTTTCTACTTTAATTATAAGGGTATAAGGATAAAAAATTTCATGATATGGCTATTATGATAGGCTTATATGAAAATTGTGAAATAAAATACCAATGAGCCTATTAAAATTAAAAAAAAAATATTTAAACGAGATTAAAAGGTTTCATATCTTCAACTATCCGGTTAAAAAGATTTTAATATGAGTTTTTTATAGTAATTTTCACTCCTTTCACTTATGTATAACACACAGTTGTTTTGAACATAATTTTAAGATAACTAGCTAATACCCCCATACGAAATGTAATGTTCATTACTCGTATTAGTTTTATAGCAGTCGAATTGTGCTCTCTGTATTTGAGTGATATCGTGTAATCTACTCATAACTAAAATAATAAAACTGAGATAACGATATGGTAACTCTAATCACAATTCTAGCTTGAGAAGAGAAGTTTTTTTTTTCTAGACCACGTTTCGCAAAGTAAAATTTAAAAATAAAATGTTTCGATATATCTCCACCAAATGTGTAAAGATAGCAATTGGACATATTATTGCATCGGACAAAAAAGTTTAACTTTCAACCATGAATGTGCGTTAGTTTTGAGTATTTTGTATTGCCGTTGAGTAAAATGATAATTCGTCGTCGTTACTTTATCTTGAACCAGCACCGTAATCTTATCGTTTATAAATATGGCAGCTTCATTTACTAATCGTCAACATTACATTCGTGACATTCCAATCGACAGTCAAGTTTTGTTTTCGTACGCTAATTCTCTAATTAGCAAAAGTTTACATTCTTATAAGAAAAATAAAGTGTGATTTTAACAGCTATACAGGTAATTTATATTTAATTTGTAGTTTTTTAATTTCAGAATACTAATAAAGAATTTCTGTTATTCTAAACTTTTAGAAATTGTGTTGTTTTTTATTAAACAGCAGCATTCTTCTAACGCAGATTTACAATAACAGATTGAAATTTTTTCTCAACTTAAGCTTTAACCACACCACACCGACGTAAAGTAAAATGTCGCAACCTGTTGCATTCCTTACACGCAAAGAAACATTCAGCGCTTGCCATCGTTTACACAGGTAAGGGAATATATTTGTAAATAGCCACATACATACATATAGTATATAAATTAACAAATAAAACATAATGTCTACAAATGTAAAATACATCTCGATAAGTACTACGTACTATATAGTGTTCACGGCAGCGTAGCTTGTGATGCGGTCGAAGCTCTCTACTACGTTCGGGGTGAATAGAAATGTTAACCTTGATAAGCGACAGCAATCTTATGATTGACTTTTGGTATTTTTTTTTTTTATTCAATAAACAAACTAGTAAGTGGGACATTAATAAAATGAGAAGCGTCTTATAAGTATCTTTACACTCAATTTAAAGCCTCGTCTTCAATATACACATACACAAAGTAAATACACGAGTAAATAAACGAGCACTTCATTTTTATTCTGATAAACCGCAAATTGTAATTTTATAACTTTTAAGGCTTCAATTTTGAATGAGGGCAATTTATTTTACTATTTATTAATGTATTAAAACATACATATACATACATACCCTTTAAAAAACTATTTTGTAATTAAGTAACATTTTTTCCTTCACTTTTTTAGCCCACATCTAAGTGACGCCGAAAATGCTGAAGTGTTTGGGAAGTGTAATCATATAAATGGACATGGACACAATTACACCGGTAAATATATGCAAAAACAAAAAATTATAACTTCGGTTGCACCGAAGCTAGAATACACTCACAAATACGATTCGCTACAAGAACTTAATTTGATGGGTCAGTTTGATTGACTGCTTTTACTATAGGAGCTTATTATGTTCAATTTTTTCGTCCTTGGAGAATAATTCATGTCAAACTTCGTGAAGATATCTAGTCAAATAAGAAAATTTGCCTAGGACATGATTTTGACCGGGCCATTTATACGGCAGCTTTGTTATATAGTAGCCGGACATCGCAATTCCATCAAGATGCTTCTTTTAAGAAAAAGAAAGTGTATAATATTTCAGATTTATATTATATTTATACTAATTCAGATATTTTTCGTATATACAGAGCAATTGGTGTATCTAAACTAAAATATTTGTTTAAGTACTTTTTGAGTTTTTGGCATCATAAGTATATACTAATGGTGTACGATGTATTGTTTATTATTTTCAGTTGAGGTAACAGTTCGTGGACCTATTGACATACGCACAGGGATGGTAATGAATGTTACTGAATTGAAGACTGCATTAGACAGAGTTGTGTTCAAGGACTTGGATCATAAAAATTTGGACTTAGATGTAGATTTCTTCAAAAAAACTGTAAGTATTTTAAAAATATAATAATAATATTTGTTTTTAATATAAAACATTTCACATATTTAGCCCAGTACTACGGAGAATGTTTGTGTTTACATTTGGGATAATGTGCGACAACATTTGAAACGTCCAGAACTGTTGTACGAAGTAAAGATCTATGAAACTGATAAAAATTCAGTTAGTTACCGTGGCCCATACAATCATAATGGCTATTACCAAAGCATGCAAATGAAACGCTCAGCTAAAACTTCTTGCACTAACATCTCTTCTGATTCTGACTAATGCTGCCTGGAGACCACAAGACTCGAATTGAATTGTGAATATGAATTTAATTAATGTTAGTTAAGGAGAAATACAACACTAAAAAATAAAATAAAATAAAGTATTTTTATAATTTCATTTAATTTTCTACTATCGATCTAACTATCAGCAATGAATGCTTTTCTTTTGACGTGTTAGTGCAATATAATTGATTATACCCTACTGTAGCTTCAGTTTCAGATTCAATATTATTATTGTTGTATTACAAAAACTCAATTTATATTCGATCAAGATGATCATTAATTCATATAATCAAAGATTGCTGATCGATGATTTTAATATACAATAATGCGCTGTAATATGAACTTCTAGTGTTATTGATATGTGATTAAGAAATACAAGTAGAGGGTAGAAAATATTTTTAGAACATAAGAATTTCTTAATTAACTGAGTAGTTCTTTGTAAAAAAAGTATTATTATGTACCATATTTGATATCGGATCTCACATCTTCTGTGAATACTTATTTCGATTAAGCTCTACTTGTAGCCTCAATAACAAGAACAATAAAAGCAAAACTTAAATAAATTAGTTGATACCAAATGAATCTACACTTTATTTTTATTAAGATAATTTGCTAGAAATTAACGTTCTGGGGGAAAGGAATGAAAAGTAAAATATGCTACATATTTATATACAAAATAAATAAATAGAGGTGTGGACTAATTTCGACCAATGAATCAGAGTTATCACTTATTAGATACCAATTAAAGCCGCTTTTGTTTAAATTATTGTGTAAAAAATAGTAGTATTTTAGCTTTTGTGGTCTTCCTGTACTATATATGTATATGTACATACATATGTATATGTGCATATATGTATATGGGTACATTTGTTTGCAGATGATTTTATACTCACCTAGTACAGCTTAAACATGAAAAATCGTTAACTACATTTGCACCGATGCTATAATACACAGCTATGACAGCTATGACTACGTGATTTCATCGTTCAGTTTGTATGTACATATATTATATATTAGTCCGATCTGAACAATTTCTTCGAAGATTTCAGCCTTGGATAATAATCTATGGCAATTTTTTTAAAGATATTTTCTCAAATGAAAATTTTTTCTCAACAAGGATTGAATTTGTATCGTCTTTAAAGATTGTACCGTAGCCTTAAAAAAAACATTCCATATTTCGTGAAGATATCTCGGCAAATAAAAAAGTTTCCCATATAACGACTGTACTTTGATCCCTCAGTTTGTATGGAAGTTTTATGCTATGGTAGTTCTCCTCTTTGGGAGGACAAATTTACAAAATTCCAGATCGGTATCTCAAAAACTAAGAGACTAGTTCGACAGACATAGAGCGTCTACGAATAGTGATGACGTTCATTGTGTCACGTTTCACTTTTGCACAACGTTGGAAAGTTGTCCAAGACTCATTAATTTCAGGAAGTTGATCAGTCAAATGATCGGCAATATCATGCGATTTAACTAATCTACAGTATGTTAAATCAAATGTAAAAAAATGTTGAGCTCCAAGACAACATTCATTCGGCCCGTTTTGGCCGGCATCTGGTTCAGATCATAAGAGATATTTTAATGCGTAATAAAAAAAAAACAGAACCATTTTTAACAAATTTGAATGTTTTATTTCATTGCAGCACGTTGTTTTTGTTGTAACGACAGATTTCAGATAAAAATCCAGCCCCGACTGTCATGGGAACGGACACGTTGTACTTGTTGGTGGGCCTTTTAGCTAAATCGACACACCTCAACAAGATTTAAAAACACGAAGTATTATTGTATTACGGAAAAATATAATTTTATTGAAAGTTTCATTCATTCTATATAAATAGGCGTACATAGTAGGTTTGAAAAAGCTAAATTTAAAATTACCTTTACATAATTTACTTTTATATTACTGTCTGCGAAATGAAACAGAAATAATTTTAAAAACTCATTAGTCCTATGACTTGCGTAACGTTTAAAGACGCATTATGTCTATTTGGATGAGGTAATGTAAACTTCACAATTATATATTAATTCAACACAACCTTTGATTTATATAAAACAAAAAATAAATAAAATAAAAAACTAATGTAACTGATAAGCAATAATGTGAAATAGTTTTAAAAATATGAAACTTAATAGGAAAACATAAATTGAGATTTTATAAGAAAAATATATAGCATACAAGTTTACTAAATTCCTATGTAAGTATATATGTGATTATGTAATATTTGGCGCTACTTTTTTAACTAAATTTTAATTGTATTAAAATTTTTTTTTCCGCTTTTAACAACTTAATTATCGAGATAATTAATTTTATATTTTTATATATTTAATATTTTCGATACATAATTACTAGTTATATTTTTGTGTGTATAATTTCTTTAATATTCTAAGTAAAATTGATATTTGGTTTACATCACGAGCCGTTTGCTTCTGTTTTCCTACTAGTAAGCTATTAAAGAGTCTAATAAATGTGTACGAGGCGCCTTATTAGCTGATAAATATGCATAGTATATTTATGTACGTGTGTTATTTACTATTTCTGGGTATTTATTTAACAAAGTTTCATTCAGTATATTTATTTTAGCAACTTGAAAACTAAGTTAGTCATATTTGCATGGTCATTTAGAGATAATATAGTGTATTTTGTTTGCAGATTTATAATGAGAGTACATATTATTACTTTCATATACAAGCAGACTTTTATAATAGGTATTAATAATGTTTTTGTAAACAAAAAAAACTGAACTACTCGAGAAAGTTATAATAACATATTGAAAGGTAGCTGAATTCATTATATTCTCTTCTTCCTTATCATCATAATCTTTATGGAAGATGTTCCGAATTTCCCTCACATTTAATTTAACGGAAATGTCTTTCTTTAATTTTTATACCGAAATTTTTTTTGAAGTAAGTTGATATGCACAAGAGGCCTGCAGCCGATATAAATTGAATCAAATATATTATGCCTATTTCATATCAGAAATTATAAAGAAATATATAAAAAAAAAAATATTTTTAGCAAAAAAATTTTAGGAAAAAAATTTTCGACAACCCAATATTTAATATTTTAGACTGAACTTTGACATCACTTTGACATGTTTATCTATATAATTTTTAGTAAATGTGAAAATGTGTTTAAAAACTTGTAAATGTAAATGTTTGTTTTAGAAATGATGGATATCTAACCCCCTTGGCCATGGTAGTCAAACTGATTCATTACTTTAAAGCGAGAATCATTAGTCATGCAATGAAGGTATCTGTAGAATCTTATGAAAATGATGTTCTAACCACTATTTTCTATAATTAATGAAAATTCGAAAGTCTAGTTTTATAATTATTAAAAATCTCTTCTAATTTTTTGTTACAATTTTGATAGTATCGATAGATATCATTTATCAGTACCTACTTATTACATTTCTATACAAGCTGAAAGGTATTTTAGTTAAAATATTCCTTTTAGTGATTTCATCAAAAAAGAATGAGCGGGTAATACTGTTATCTTTTTGCTTGCACTTTTGTATTGACTAACTTGTGAAGAATTGTAGAGAAACTCCGGAAATGTATGAAATGTTGATAAGATAAGATATTTCACTATAGCTGTAGATAAATTAATTTATATTTTGTAAACACAATTAGTTAAATTTAAATTTTTAAAACTGGCTCGCTGCAGTTGGTAAATTTAGAATTGTTAATCGGTTTAGAGGTTAATTGTAATATTATAAAATTAATTTAATTTTTAAGGTATAAAGAGTTTTATGGACGAATTATAAATGTTTGCAATAAAAGTTGAAAACTAAATGGTTTAAAATCTTTATCCACTGTAAAACAAAAAAAAAAAAAGAAATCATGAGAGGAATGCAGATGTGTGCAAAACTAATGTCACACCGCGTGCATAAATTCGCTACTCATACAGTATTGTAGAACATCAAATAATGAATTTTTCAAATAGTTCCAAAACTTATTCAGTAAACTGTAAATTTTAGTCATAGTAACCAAAAGTATGAATAAGTAGTTTTGTTAACTTCACTATAAATTTTAGGAACTTAATGGATGCAATCATACTTTTTACAATATAAATAAGAGGACTCTATGGATATTTGGGTTATTTTCATAAGATTTTTATATGTACATATAAGCGACTTTTGTAAATATAATAATAAAAGAAATATCACAATCCAATTTAATTCTTGATTTCCCTACCAACTCGTTTTGATAATTAAAAAAAAAAAATAGTAAAATTGTGGAATACTATAAAGCATGGTTACAAATTATGCCTAAAAAATTATTCATTATAACTTTTTTTGATTTTTCAATCTCGAAAATATGAATTAAAAATAGTTTTTAATTTCTAACCTAAACATCTAATATGTGATTTTTAATCTGGAATAACGAATAGAGAAATATAAAAAAAGTAATTTCTAAAACAGGATTTAAAAACTAAAAATTTATTTTTTATTAATAACCGGATTAAAAGTTAAATTTTCATTTTTTTTTACTGTATTGAAAAATAAAAAGGAAATGTT